TGACCTCGAAACACAAAAGACAAGAAACCAGTGACCCTAACACATATATCTTCGCCTTAAACCCACTAGATTTTTTATATCATAATCTACAGAATTTCTAATGTAAATGTCGTATTCTCACTGCATATAACTTATGTGCAAATATAAACGGAATAAAAAGATTTTAATGAAAAAATTAAATATACAGATGTTAAATCTAGTGAAATACAGGAAAGTCTAATGTAACTAAATATAATAATAACAATCATAATAATAATAACAATAATAATAACAATAATAATAATAATAATAAAATAATAATAATAATAATATTGATAATCATAATAATTATAAAAGAATTAATGATAATAATAATAATTTTGTAATATTAATAATATTGATAATAATAACAATTGTAATATTATTAATGATAATAAAAATGCACAAAACGTAAACAATTTTCCTAAGACACATTCTCTCGCAGATGATAAATTAACCTTAACGACCACAGCTTCGCAATTAGGCATCTAGCAAAATCAACAACAGTTTGCCATGACCTCAAGCTTTCATTAGTGAGTGTGTCTTTAATGAGCACAATTACCTACGAACGACCATTAAAGACATTAGCCACCATCTCTGGTTTTTTTTTTCAGGAGAAAAAAAAATGAAATTAATGAGTTTATCATTCTGGCTACGTGTCATCCTGTGTGGATTTTTTTTTTTTTTTTTTTGCTAAAATTTTCTATATAATAATATTGATTGCAAAGATAAATCGTTCATAATAACACAAACTCCTCTATAGCTTTTAACCCTGACTATTGAACGAATCATCGATCTTTAACGATAATGATAACTCAAGTGTAAAATATTTTCACAAGTTGTACCAGCAGCTATGAAAGCAAATTGATATAACGAAGTGAAAACCTTGGCACACTTAACGGCCGACCAAACAAATCTATATGCAGATAAAAAAGCTTGGATATACGTGTTGAAAATACTACAATACTAAAATGAAATTTCCCAAAATTCGTCATTCGCATTTCTTGTTAAGCATTCTAGTACGAGACGACTAAATTTGTGAAGTTTTCATCATTTATAAGTCTTAAGTTCTGTCTTTGCTAAGAATACATGATATCCTCTGCAGAGAGAGAGAGAGAGAGAGAGAGAGAGAGAGAGAGAGAGAGAGAGAGAGAGAGAGAGAGAGAGAGAGAGAGAGAGAGAGAGAGAGAGAGGGACAGGGAGAGAAAGAGTGAGAGAGAGAGAGAGAGAGAGAGAGAGAGAGAGAGAGAGAGAGAGAGAGAGAGAGAGAGAGAGAGAGAGAGAGAGAGAGAGAGAGAGAGAGGGTTAAAATGTAGAAGTGTGAGAATGTGTTGCGATCGGCGATGCATGAAATTTTTCTCTCTGCCTTTCTCTCTATCGTTTTTTGCATTTTTGTTATCATGTTGGATATTTCTGTTATGTGTGTGTTTGTATTTTCATCTCTCATGTTCTGTTTCTTGCCCTCTGTGTTTCTCTCTCTCTCTCTCTCTCTCTCTCTCTCTCTCTCTCTCTCTCTCTCTCTCCTCTCTCTCTCTCTCTCTCTCTCTCTCTCTCTCTCTCTCTCTCTCTCTCCCCCCCTCTCTCTCTCTCTCTCTCTCTCTCTCTCTCTCTCTCTCTCTCTCTCTTCTTCTCTCTTCCTCTTCTCTCACTCTCTCTCCTCTTTCTCTCACTCACACTCCCTCTTTCTCTCACTCACACTCCCTCTCTCTCTCACTCTCACTCCCCTCTCTCTCTCTCACTCTCTCACTCCCTCCTCTCTCTCTCTCTCACTCTCTCCTCTCTCTCTCTCTCTCTCTCTCTCTCTCTCTCTCTCTCTCTCTCTCTCTCTCTCTCTCTCTCTCTCTCTCTCTCTCTCTCTCTCTCTCTCTCTCTCTCTCTCTCTCTCTCTCTCTCTCCTCTCTCTCTCCTCTCTCTCTCCTCTCTCTCTCCTCTCTCTCTCCTCTCTCTCTCCTCTCTCTCTCCTCTCTCTCTCCTCTCTCTCTCTCTCTCTCTCTCTCTCTCTCTCTCTCTCTCTCTCTCTCTCTCTCTCTCTCTCTCTCTCTCTCTCTCTCTCGCACTCTCACTCGCATTCTCACTCGCTCTGTGTGTGTATATATATATATATATATATATATATATATATATATATATATATATATATATATATATATATATATATATATATATATATATATACATATATATATATACAGATATATACATGTATATATATATATATACACATAAATGTTTGCTATAGGAACATCAGGTAAAACAGAATAAAAAAAAAAAAAAAATAACAAACCAGAACGTCACTTACCTTAAAAAAATGCAAAACACATTTCCTCTTACCTGCCTTCCGAAATTCGAAGATCCAGTCCTGTCAGGCATATAAAACTACCTGTACCCAAACTACACTAACACACAGACAACAGGAAAACATGCACAGAAGCCTCACAAAAGGGGGACCACCACCGTTTATAAAAGGGGAGTCAAGACGTAC